AATTTGGTTTTAAGATAAAATTTGATATGGTACCAAAGTCTATATAATTCATCTTAGTAACTACTTATACTAGTAGACTTGCCTGGTTTGGCATGTACTTGAATTTATGAATTAATTTATATGACAGCAAAAGGATTTTCAATATCTGCAATTCCCAAGTGATTTGTTTATCTTTCCTTAATTTCTATAATTTCTGTAACTTATCTCTCCTTCTTTACCGGAACTTACTTATCTTCTGTTACTATGTTATTATTTTTTATTTATATTTTGGGCTTAACCCAAATATTATATGTATTTCTTTTTATTTATATTTTGGGCTTAACCCAAATGTTATATGTATTTTCTACACAAGGAGATTAATCCAATACATAGTTTTTTCACTATATTTAATAGTTAATATGGTACTGTAAAACTTGTCATACATGTTAATGTATCTTGTGATCTTGGACTTATGTGTGTGTATTTTATTGCATACCATCTTTTGATACTCTTACACTCTAAATACATAGTTGTTTATACAATGTATAGACTATTAAACCATGGAACTCATAACCACCATACAAAAAGAAATAGGTTAATATGGGTGTCCTTAATTATTGGAGAATCAGAACATAATCAAGGAATTGATATCTGATCTTAGTTTTATTTTTACTTGTAGAGGTATTGGTGCAGTTGTGTATAAAGTACCAGAGCTTGAAAATGACCAACTGCTAAAAATCAGTCTGAGGAGTGAGAAGAACGAAGATACAACACCTATCACTCAGGTTTTCCTTTTATCAAATTGCTAATTGAATCTTTTTGCAACTCTTATTGGTTATACTCGTAGTTAAGATCTTTTTCTCTTCTATTAGGAATTTGGAGGTGGTGGGCATCGAAATGCAGGTTCTTTCATGTTAACAGCTGATAAGTTTGAACAATGGAAGGTGTGATTGGATTTTTGCACTTGACATGAGGTGACAAAGGAGTTCTTATATGATGTTCTTCTGTATGCTGCTCACATTTGAAAGCCATGTGAAATGTTTTCATAATTTCATCAGTCACTGTATTAACCAGAAGTAACCTCAGTTACTGTCCTATAATCATATGGCCTAATTTGTTTCAAGTACAATATTCTTTTCATTGGACTGAGAGTTTTATATCAGAGAATGATTTGTTAAATCAACTTGATAAATAAATTTCAATTCTTTAAGGATGGATATTTAGAACTTCTAGAGTAGACAATTAAGATAGTACTTGCTGATTTAAAAGAGAATTTTACTGATGAAACTCAAACATGATATTTTAGTTCATTCCATTAGTAAATTGGTGATTTAAAACTTGTTTTGCATGTTTATACAGCTTTGATCTTGCAATTGCATTAACCAAAAATCTATATAAGAATTAGTATAGATAAACATCTTCTCAAGTTTAAGAAAAAAAGAAGAAACAAGTCTGTTTATAAATTAAATCTAATATAGAAAGAAAGATATAGATCAGTTTATTCACAAGTTAATTTTTATGAGTAGAATTTTATTTTATTTTTTCTTTTCTCAAAAGTAACTAGGGAAAGATTATCCGTATTCGATTTCTTGAGATTGTATACATCTAACATATTCAGAGACTGAATATAAGAATTTGTTCATACAATGTTTATAGAAAATTAAAACATTAAACTCAACTATTCTGAGATGAATAAAGTCCCATAATTAGTGAAAAATCAAAAACAGAATACCTGTAACATCTTCACCAAGTCATATATTACAGCTTATTCTGTTACAGTTTTTCTTCTTTCTCTCTTTGACAGCTTGTCTTTGCTATTCTTATTTTTACTTTTAGAGATATTTGTGCAGTTCTGTATAAAGAACCATAACTTGAAAATGAACAAAGGACAAAATAAGCATGAGGGGTGTGGAGAATGAAGTTACCATGCCTATTTCTCAGGTTTCTCCTTCATCAAAATGCTAATTGAATATTCTATGTGACTCTTGTTAGATATACTTGTATCTGATATATTTTTCTCATCTTAGGAATTTGGAGGTGGTAGACATTGAAATGCAAGCTTTTTCATGTTAATAGCTGATGAATTTGAACAGTGAAAGGTGTGATTGGATTTTTGCACTTGACATGGAGACATAAAGGAGTTACAGTCACACATGATCTTCTGTGTACTGCTCAAATTTCAAAGTTATGTGGAATGTTTTGGTAGTTCTGTTAATTACTCTATTATGCAGTTCTTTTGACTATTAATTAGGTATCAGTGAGTTATTTTTTTATTTTTTATTTTTATTTTTTTTTTTTATGTAATTCAAAAGCAATGTTTGAATAGTCTCTCCAATCATTTGAAAATTTCATTGGACTAAAATTTTCTTAATGTTACTCTTTAGAGATCAATTGGTTTCAAAGTTACTTGGCATTAGCATTAGCATAGTTGATTATACTCTTAACTGCCTTTCACTTATAGAATTCCTTCTTCCAAATGAAAAACAATAAAAATAATAATTAACACTTGAGTTGTGATTTATATTTATTCCACAAATAACACCCAGATCACCTCGAGATAGAGGTTAGTACAAAAATGTATAAAATCAATGCAATAATATGATCCTAATTAACAAGCCCACCAAACCAAAAACAAACCAAACCATCCTCACCAATTAAGTATAATGATAATCAGAAAAGCAAAAGTTAAATCTCTTAATAACAGTTATATGGAAAATGTATAAATATTTTATTATATGATGAAATGTATATAAATATATATATATTTATATTAATATCCGGCTCCCAAGTTATTCACCACCAATCTGGCCTGCCATTAGGTCTTCAAAATATTAGTTTGTAAATGTAACATGTGAGAGTTCTTCACCACCAACCATAGCTGCATTAGAAGAATACCATGCATCTTCTGTAATGAACTGCATCCATGAATCATCTTTGTCTTCCTCTTCCAAGCATGATGATGATGCGCCTGGTATGTCAGGAGACATGGTATCACACTCATTAATCATGGTTTGGCAGCTCTCAATGAGTGATATACTACATTGTCCTTGCTCTTCAATCTCAGAACAGATTCCATTTTTCTTGAACACCCGGCACAATGCATAAGTATCCTGCAAGGTAGTTATTAATATAGTTAACTAGTGTGCTAAAGGAACTTCATTTGGACTTTTGTTGGTGTCACTTTTCTCTTTTGGATACATATAAATTAATGCAGCCTAAAGTAACACACAAGGATAGTGTAGGATTTTCCTACCAATAATTGCTTTAGGTCTTTTTATTACCTACATTTGAAATGATCAACAAAAGCAGTGTAGTCAAAAATTGAGGCCTAACCAGATCTACACAATGTGGTGGAGGTTAAAACCTTAAAAGAAAACCTCTGAACAAGCAGTGGCACAAAGATTCAAAGAGTGCTAAATGTTCTGTCCTTGTTTCTTATTAAGAATATTAAAAATGCTGCTACTGTGTCCTAATCAAGTGGAGACTTTTGTGGTTACTAAAAGGGTGAACATATTATAGATGCTAACTTCATTGCTAAAATCCTTGCCATAATCACCATGACCTACCTGAATTGGCACATTCTGGCATAGATATTAGTTTACTTACAACGAATACTTGGTTGGTACAATTGACTGGTACCATCCCTCTCCTTTTTATTATCTTAATTATTTGTAAATTTTCTGGGGTATAGTATAGTACCCATTTGTCAGTTTTGGTGTTTAGGAATAAAGTAAAAAGTGACCGACACAGAATGAAAGTGATGGGAGAATGGTTGCTGCTTTTTGAGATGCAGAAGCCTTCATGGCTTACATAGAATCTAATAATTGTAGATCAGGGTTGGAAGGTTGAACAGATAACTAAAGAATTTTAATGAAGAAGGGATAGGGATAATAAAGAGGATAGTAGTTTTGTCTCATTACATTACACTATATTATATTGTACATGCAATAATATAAAGGACAAGGAGCACTAGAACTTTGTCATTTTAGAGGTATTAGAGTAACACAAGTAAAGAATATGTCAGCCATACGTTTATAGAGTACCTACAATAAACAAACATAAAGTAATAACATGAGAGAGAGGAGGAATAAAGCTCCTACAAAAGTGAAGGCTTTCCATGCACGCCATGCAATTTTCACGTTCTTCTACTGTCCAAATATGTACAATGTCTTATCTACTTCAATTTTTTCTACAGTTTCAAGTTTTATTCTCACTGTGTTCCTAGTGTGACTCTGATGAAGTGATCATCATGGGAATATGGAACTAAAGCTTATCTATCTTTTTTTGCTCCTTGTCTTTGGTGTAAAAGAGGAGCTGAAAATAATCAATGAAAAATGCTTTTGTCACTCCCTTAAGCATCGAACTTCTTGCTTTTTGGTTCAAATATGTGATGACAAGTGTGCATACTTCACACACAAACAAAAGAGACTTCTGAAAGTAGGTAAAGGGTCAGGTGGGTACCATAGGCTAGTTTTAAAGACAACAAAAACATTTACTTTTCTAAGATGTGACTTGTAAAGCTAATTTGGAAGGTGTAACTTACTAATTCCCCACACTCATACCACCCTAAATCGTCTTCAGTTCCTAACTTATTTCACTCCATTGATTGCAGTAACTTAGAAGTCAAAAAAATTTAAAGTGGTTAACTATTGATTTCATAAAAGGAGTTTTGACTACATTGTAAATGTGTACATGACATGACTGAGTGACTATATAAGTTGCATGATTGCTAATGCATTTTTTAGAAATAGCCATTTTAAAACTAAAGCAAGCTAATATCACTTGATTACGAAAACTGATAACAATTACTGAATCAGAGTAAAAAGCTACTGGTACACCTAAAAAGCCAACAAGCAATTCAATAAGCATAACTAGCGAAATACTCAAGATAACATTAAAATAAGTGCAAAGAAGGACTTTATCAACTTTCTTCAAATATTATTTTAATGTATCTTACATTTGAATTGCTACTGGTTTTGTATAATAGGTCTGTCGTGGCTACATGGTTACTGTTCTTTTGTCTTATTTTAATCACTTTTGAATAAGAGTAGGCATTGAGAGCTTTACTTTATGGTGCTAATAGTTACATATTTTGAATACAAATGCCGGTGTGCATACACTATGAGAGATACTCAGAGGTGAAAATGATAACAATGTGAGATACTGAAATAATATTATGTGATAGAAAGCTTACATAAGAAAAGATGATAATGTGATATTGATAACTTAATAAATGTGTCATAAAGAAAGATATAAAAGATAAACATGAAGTTATTATACTGTTAAAATGTGTATGTATCATTGTTGATATTTTAATATAGGTTGAATATATATATATATATATATATATATATATATATATATGTATANATAATTCATCTTAGTAACTACTTATACTAGTAGACTTGCCTGGTTTGGCATGTACTTGAATTTATGAATTAATTTATATGACAGCAAAAGGATTTTCAATATCTGCAATTCCCAAGTGATTTGTTTATCTTTCCTTAATTTCTATAATTTCTGTAACTTATCTCTCCTTCTTTACCGGAACTTACTTATCTTCTGTTACTATGTTATTATTTTTTATTTATATTTTGGGCTTAACCCAAATATTATATGTATTTCTTTTTATTTATATTTTGGGCTTAACCCAAATGTTATATGTATTTTCTACACAAGGAGATTAATCCAATACATAGTTTTTTCACTATATTTAATAGTTAATATGGTACTGTAAAACTTGTCATACATGTTAATGTATCTTGTGATCTTGGACTTATGTGTGTGTATTTTATTGCATACCATCTTTTGATACTCTTACACTCTAAATACATAGTTGTTTATACAATGTATAGACTATTAAACCATGGAACTCATAACCACCATACAAAAAGAAATAGGTTAATATGGGTGTCCTTAATTATTGGAGAATCAGAACATAATCAAGGAATTGATATCTGATCTTAGTTTTATTTTTACTTGTAGAGGTATTGGTGCAGTTGTGTATAAAGTACCAGAGCTTGAAAATGACCAACTGCTAAAAATCAGTCTGAGGAGTGAGAAGAACGAAGATACAACACCTATCACTCAGGTTTTCCTTTTATCAAATTGCTAATTGAATCTTTTTGCAACTCTTATTGGTTATACTCGTAGTTAAGATCTTTTTCTCTTCTATTAGGAATTTGGAGGTGGTGGGCATCGAAATGCAGGTTCTTTCATGTTAACAGCTGATAAGTTTGAACAATGGAAGGTGTGATTGGATTTTTGCACTTGACATGAGGTGACAAAGGAGTTCTTATATGATGTTCTTCTGTATGCTGCTCACATTTGAAAGCCATGTGAAATGTTTTCATACTTTCATCAGTCACTGTATTAACCAGAAGTAACCTCAGTTACTGTCCTATAATCATATGGCCTAATTTGTTTCAAGTACAATATTCTTTTCATTGGACTGAGAGTTTTATATCAGAGAATGATTTGTTAAATCAACTTGATAAATAAATTTCAATTCTTTAAGGATGGATATTTAGAACTTCTAGAGTAGACAATTAAGATAGTACTTGCTGATTTAAAAGAGAATTTTACTGATGAAACTCAAACATGATATTTCAGTTCATTCCATTAGTAAATTGGTGATTTAAAACTTGTTTTGCATGTTTATACAGCTTTGATCTTGCAATTGCATTAACCAAAAATCTATATAAGAATTAGTATAGATAAACATCTTCTCAAGTTTAAGAAAAAAAGAAGAAACAAGTCTGTTTATAAATTAAATCTAATATAGAAAGAAAGATATAGATCAGTTTATTCACAAGTTAATTTTTATGAGTAGAATTTTATTTTATTTTTTCTTTTCTCAAAAGTAACTAGGGAAAGATTATCCGTATTCGATTTCTTGAGATTGTATACATCTAACATATTCAGAGACTGAATATAAGAATTTGTTCATACAATGTTTATAGAAAATTAAAACATTAAACTCAACTATTCTGAGATGAATAAAGTCCCATAATTAGTGAAAAATCAAAAACAGAATACCTGTAACATCTTCACCAAGTCATATATTACAGCTTATTCTGTTACAGTTTTTCTTCTTTCTCTCTTTGACAGCTTGTCTTTGCTATTCTTATTTTTACTTTTAGAGATATTTGTGCAGTTCTGTATAAAGAACCATAACTTGAAAATGAACAAAGGACAAAATAAGCATGAGGGGTGTGGAGAATGAAGTTACCATGCCTATTTCTCAGGTTTCTCCTTCATCAAAATGCTAATTGAATATTCTATGTGACTCTTGTTAGATATACTTGTATCTGATATATTTTTCTCATCTTAGGAATTTGGAGGTGGTAGACATTGAAATGCAAGCTTTTTCATGTTAATAGCTGATGAATTTGAACAGTGAAAGGTGTGATTGGATTTTTGCACTTGACATGGAGACATAAAGGAGTTACAGTCACACATGATCTTCTGTGTACTGCTCAAATTTCAAAGTTATGTGGAATGTTTTGGTAGTTCTGTTAATTACTCTATTATGCAGTTCTTTTGACTATTAATTAGGTATCAGTGAGTTATTTTTTTATTTTTTATTTTTATTTTTTTTTTTTATGTAATTCAAAAGCAATGTTTGAATAGTCTCTCCAATCATTTGAAAATTTCATTGGACTAAAATTTTCTTAATGTTACTCTTTAGAGATCAATTGGTTTCAAAGTTACTTGGCATTAGCATTAGCATAGTTGATTATACTCTTAACTGCCTTTCACTTATAGAATTCCTTCTTCCAAATGAAAAACAATAAAAATAATAATTAACACTTGAGTTGTGATTTATATTTATTCCACAAATAACACCCAGATCACCTCGAGATAGAGGTTAGTACAAAAATGTATAAAATCAATGCAATAATATGATCCTAATTAACAAGCCCACCAAACCAAAAACAAACCAAACCATCCTCACCAATTAAGTATAATGATAATCAGAAAAGCAAAAGTTAAATCTCTTAATAACAGTTATATGGAAAATGTATAAATATTTTATTATATGATGAAATGTATATAAATATATATATATTTATATTAATATCCGGCTCCCAAGTTATTCACCACCAATCTGGCCTGCCATTAGGTCTTCAAAATATTAGTTTGTAAATGTAACATGTGAGAGTTCTTCACCACCAACCATAGCTGCATTAGAAGAATACCATGCATCTTCTGTAATGAACTGCATCCATGAATCATCTTTGTCTTCCTCTTCCAAGCATGATGATGATGCGCCTGGTATGTCAGGAGACATGGTATCACACTCATTAATCATGGTTTGGCAGCTCTCAATGAGTGATATACTACATTGTCCTTGCTCTTCAATCTCAGAACAGATTCCATTTTTCTTGAACACCCGGCACAATGCATAAGTATCCTGCAAGGTAGTTATTAATATAGTTAACTAGTGTGCTAAAGGAACTTCATTTGGACTTTTGTTGGTGTCACTTTTCTCTTTTGGATACATATAAATTAATGCAGCCTAAAGTAACACACAAGGATAGTGTAGGATTTTCCTACCAATAATTGCTTTAGGTCTTTTTATTACCTACATTTGAAATGATCAACAAAAGCAGTGTAGTCAAAAATTGAGGCCTAACCAGATCTACACAATGTGGTGGAGGTTAAAACCTTAAAAGAAAACCTCTGAACAAGCAGTGGCACAAAGATTCAAAGAGTGCTAAATGTTCTGTCCTTGTTTCTTATTAAGAATATTAAAAATGCTGCTACTGTGTCCTAATCAAGTGGAGACTTTTGTGGTTACTAAAAGGGTGAACATATTATAGATGCTAACTTCATTGCTAAATTCCTTGCCATAATCACCATGACCTACCTGAATTGGCACATTCTGGCATAGATATTAGTTTACTTACAACGAATACTTGGTTGGTACAATTGACTGGTACCATCCCTCTCCTTTTTATTATCTTAATTATTTGTAAATTTTCTGGGGTATAGTGTAGTACCCATTTGTCAGTTTTGGTGTTTAGGAATAAAGTAAAAAGTGACCGACACAGAATGAAAGTGATGGGAGAATGGTTGCTGCTTTTTGAGATGCAGAAGCCTTCATGGCTTACATAGAATCTAATAATTGTAGATCAGGGTTGGAAGGTTGAACAGATAACTAAAGAATTTTAATGAAGAAGGGATAGGGATAATAAAGAGGATAGTAGTTTTGTCTCATTACATTACACTATATTATATTGTACATGCAATAATATAAAGGACAAGGAGCACTAGAACTTTGTCATTTTAGAGGTATTAGAGTAACACAAGTAAAGAATATGTCAGCCATACGTTTATAGAGTACCTACAATAAACAAACATAAAGTAATAACATGAGAGAGAGGAGGAATAAAGCTCCTACAAAAGTGAAGGCTTTCCATGCACGCCATGCAATTTTCACGTTCTTCTACTGTCCAAATATGTACAATGTCTTATCTACTTCAATTTTTTCTACAGTTTCAAGTTTTATTCTCACTGTGTTCCTAGTGTGACTCTGATGAAGTGATCATCATGGGAATATGGAACTAAAGCTTATCTATCTTTTTTTGCTCCTTGTCTTTGGTGTAAAAGAGGAGCTGAAAATAATCAATGAAAAATGCTTTTGTCACTCCCTTAAGCATCGAACTTCTTGCTTTTTGGTTCAAATATGTGATGACAAGTGTGCATACTTCACACACAAACAAAAGAGACTTCTGAAAGTAGGTAAAGGGTCAGGTGGGTACCATAGGCTAGTTTTAAAGACAACAAAAACATTTACTTTTCTAAGATGTGACTTGTAAAGCTAATTTGGAAGGTGTAACTTACTAATTCCCCACACTCATACCACCCTAAATCGTCTTCAGTTCCTAACTTATTTCACTCCATTGATTGCAGTAACTTAGAAGTCAAAAAAATTTAAAGTGGTTAACTATTGATTTCATAAAAGGAGTTTTGACTACATTGTAAATGTGTACATGACATGACTGAGTGACTATATAAGTTGCATGATTGCTAATGCATAGCCATTTTAAAACTAAAGCAAGCTAATATCACTTGATTATGAAAACTGATAACAATTACTGAATCAGAGTAAAAAGCTACTGGTACACCTAAAAAGCCAACAAGCAATTCAATAAGCATAACTAGCGAAATACTCAAGATAACATTAAAATAAGTGCAAGAAGGACTTTATCATTCTTCAAATATTATTTTAATGTATCTTACATTTGAATTGCTACTGGTTTTGTATAATAGGTCTGCCGTGGCTACAGGGTTACTGTTCTTTTGTCTTATTTTAATCACTTTTGAATATGAGTAGGCATTGAGAGCTTTACTTTATGGTGCTAATAGTTACATATTTTGAATACAAATGCCGGTGTGCATACACTATGAGAGATACTCAGAGGTGAAAATGATAACAATGTGAGATACTGAAATAATATTATGTGATAGAAAGCTTACATAAGAAAAGATGATAATGTGATATTGATAACTTAATAAATGTGTCATAAAGAAAGATATAAAAGATAAACATGAAGTTATTATACTGTTAAAATGTGTATGTATCATTGTTGATATTTTAATATAGGTTGAATATATATATATATATATATATATATATATATATATATATATATATATATATATATATATGTACACACATACCTGTAATCCAGTGGTGTCTTCACACTCTTTGTCATCAAGGCGATACTCATGCATTACCCAATCAGTTCTGATTCCTTGAGGAGCTCTGCCTCTATAGTACACCAAAGTCTTCTTCATGCCAATGGGTCTGCTTTGGCAGGAAACTTTCCTATCTTTTCCAGTGGACTTCCAGTACCCTGCACGAGTTGCTCTATTTGTTCTAAACCCATTCGGGTATTTCCTATCCCGGGGTCCAAAAAAGTACCACTCTGGATCTCTACTGGGTAAAAATGATTTCTCTAACCATGCAAAAACAACAAAAAATGTTCCAAAATCAGTCTATCAGTTGAACAACTTTGCCTCACTGAAAATTTAGGCCATATACAGTGCATCAGATTGATAGCCCTTGCCTAATAAGACTATTCATATATATACGAAGAATGTTGGAGATCCCATTATGGATTAAATTAGTACAAACTTCATTTTAGAAGTTGATTTTATAAGGTTAAGTTTAAAATCTACTTCTCAACAAAGAAGAATGTCACTAAGTAGTAAGTAGGAACATGCATGGTCCATCAAAGATATTTCAAGTTAGGTACTATTTTGGTGGTAGTTTTTCCATATATATTACCTATCAGATAGCTAAATGTTGGAACTAGATAAAGGGTCTACTGTATATCCACCAGGATCAACATAGTGATGAAGAGGCTGAGTAGTTTACACAAGGTTTTAAATTTCATTGTTCACACAAAATGTGAATGTGCAAGCCAAGTATTATGAGATATAAATGGATGAATGACAAGTAGGAGAAACAAAGTATTTGGAAGAATTGAATTGAAGGGTAGTTAAAGAGAAGAAAACCTGCTAATTCCCAAGGTTCACATTTGTAGAGATCAACTTCAGGAATGATATCAAGTTCAATTTCTTGGCAATTGATCTTCCTCTTGAGATAGTAGTTGACAAGCTCTTCATCGGTTGGATGGAACCTAAAGCCTGGTGGTAATCCAACCGGTGACATTTTTTCTCTTCTTCTCTTCTTGTTGTAGCTTCTGCTAAAGTGTTTTCACTCATCACAACCATCATTGCTTATAAACAGACCAAAAGGAACCAAAGTTCCTTATCTTTGAGTTTTTTTCTCTTTTTCTTTTACAGATTTTACAGATTCTGGCATAACGTTTGATACAAGCCTTTCCCCTATCACTGATAATATATACTTCCTTGTATGTAGGTACTTCCATTTACATCATACAAATATCCTCCTTAATCCTTTTCTTTCCTTAATATAGTTTAATTGATGACCCTTTTCCTTTCTTTTGTGAGAACATTTTGTGGCAAAAGAAGCCTATGGAGTGAGTGAGGGATCTTTAGACTTCAAATTAACGTGAAAAGTCCACTAATTAATTGTATCTTCATCAGCCAATCCGTAATAGAAAGCAGACAAACACACTTTTTAGAAGCAGAAGATAAGTTGATATATAATAAATTAATCAATGTAGCAATTCAAATACTGCTACTAATAATAATAAACTACAACCTTTGCATCACACCCTGTCCCTGTCGTTGTTTATTTGAATATTAAATGTTATTCCTCAAAACAGCTGTGTGATGTTGCTTCAAACAGTTAAATTAATTTCATAAAAGCTCATTCTTTTTAGTTTTCCGGATGAGTCATACATTGATGCATGGTATCCTTCTATTTCATAGTTTAACTCATATCTTTCTCCTATAAAATGCAATTTTCTTTGAGCTTAAACTTTCATACGATATTGTTTGAAAAAACAGAAAAAAGAACTAGAACTAATACGCTGAGTATAAGAATTCAGGGTAAGTTGGAAGTTCTATTGAATAAAAATATTTAAGAATAATATATAAGGAAAATATCCATAAACCTATTATTTTAAAGTTTTGAATTGAAAGTGACCTTGTAATATGAGTTAATTCACTATTTATTATTGTCCTCTATAGGTCAAACCTTCACGGATTTGTTTTTGGTATCACTCGAGAAAACTCTTACCCATAGATGAATTTTATGTATATATAAACTTATGTTCATCTCTTATTTAATAGTTTTCAAGATAGAGTGTAAAACTTTACATAGACATGCGCTTCTTACACGTGTATTATATAGGCATTTTTATGCATATTAAAAGTAATTTTAAAGGATTAAAATATAAATAATATATTATAAGGTTTATAAATAATATTATAAGCATACACTTATGAATAACAATACAATCAACATTCAACTTGAAATAACAAAACAAATCACCAAAATAGTCAATTCCTAAATTTCAGATAGAGGAGAATGATTTTTTGAATTGTGAGTATCTGTCTTGTGTTACATCTTACATAACATAACTTACAAGATTCTCACTTGTAAACACTTGAGTTATTGAAGAGATAACATTAATATTATGTCCCTTTAATTTTGTGAGTGAAATGTGCCAAAAAGAAATTCTATAAATTGATCTACTGTCTCCGTTTTGTAAGAACTAGGAGATTACTTCAAGAACGTCTTTAGTCTCTAGACGGACAATAAGGATCGAAGAAGGACAATCACTCATTTATTTTAAAATTAGCATTCTCGATATAGGTCTAAATGGAATTAAAAAAGTGTCTCACAAAGTAAAAAGATGAAAAAATATTCAAATTATGATCTCAATTCCTGAACTATACGAGACTATTCGACATACATAAACAACACTGGATTTTCATTGTTTAAGTGTGGTATAATTGTTTTAAGTGACTTATCTTTAGTACCACACAACTGTAACATCCCAATATCTCACACTGGATAATTCATAATTTATATATTGTAACATTACATTTACGGTAATATCCCGTAATCTCACACTTATAAATTCATAGTTAATATATGTCTACACATGTTTTAAACTCAGATTTCAACTATAAACTCATAAATATAATTCGAATTCTTCTAGCTTATTCTTCTGTCTCTCTCTTCATTGGCATTGGATCAGACGACATTCCTTCATCTGCTCCCGTATAACGAATTATACGATCATCGCACATACCCAAACACAAAACAAACACAAACAAGTAGGGTGAGCTAACATGCAACAAATCATTTATAAATCATGCATAATTACCTTGATATAAACATCATATAATAATTATGTTCGACACTCTCATACCACAATTCCTATTAGACACTCGTCTCACAATACCCAATAGACACCACAATACCCAATAGACACTCATCCGGATGATACGTTGATGAGCGGTCACGGGAGGTTATGCACTTGTAATGACTTCTACTTCTTTTTTTTTTTTTTCTTTCTCTTTTTTTTTTTTATATACAAATACACTTTCAAAATACTTCATACCATTCACAAGGTTAATCCCCTCACTATGTCCAAAACCGGCACATAGACCAGGACCTCCTGCTCCTCTCACCACATAATTCATCCCTCTCTACTTGAGAATAGATGATTATTAGAGTATCAGGATAACCTCCAACTACGGGACCCTCAACATCAACATATACACAAATACCATAACATTTACTTAATCTCTCCACAAGACTCATACCATACTAATATTCCTCAACTCACATTATACCCCTACAAAATCTCCCCATACTACTCATAACATGTTCAGATGCATAAATTCAAATGCAGTATAATAAAATACAATTATCGCATAAATCACAATTATAATTCATAATTTCATATCTACCACAATAACATGAATTAATCAAACATTTTCATTCCAACAACATATATTGCATAATAATTTAACAGTACAAAATCTGTTCAATAGGATTTAAGTTAAAAACTTGTCGAGTAGACTTCCAGGAAAGAGAGGTGCGTCACAATGGACAACTTAAGTACCAAATCTTTCCTTAGCCAAAGCGTTCCTCAACTAGTTTTTAACAAATTTCTTATTTACAGATTTAAAACAACAGCATATAATATTAACACCGAAATTTAATATAGATATCAAAAAATAGAAATTAAGCAATATTAAGATCCCTGAGAAGATACGAAATTAATATCTCTAAATCTGTAACTCCGATTTCAAATCTGATTGGTCACAATAATTCACTATTTGTTATAAACTACATATTAAAATTTCAGGTTGATCCAACGGTTAACTAGATAGATATTGAGGTTTTACCGAGGTAACTCAAGTGCAGAATTTTAAGTGGTTTTCGGTTATACTCAAAATGCGAAACTAATTTCCCTAATCACAGACATTTAATTACAAATCTGAACGGTCAAAATGACTTAATATGTCTTATGAATTACATACTAAATTTTGGGCTCAATCTAACGGTAGATGAAATATATATGAAATTTGTACCATGATAGCTTAAGAACAACAATACAGTGTTCATCCGATTGTTTCACACTTTCGAAATTTCTTTCTCTAAACATAGACCTTCAATTACAAATCCGATCGGTCAAATTGTATTAATATGTCCTAAGAATCATATATCAAATTTTGAGGTTGATCTAACGGTTAAATAGGTCAAAATCTATATTTTTACCGAGACAACTTAGTAACAGAACTACAGGGTGACTAATTTACTCAAACTTGCAGTATTTATTTCTCCAAGTACAGACTTCTATTTTCAAATCCGAACGGTCAAAGTTTAGTAATAGGTCTTAGGATTCACATACTAAAATTTTAGCTAAATCCAACGGTGAAAACAATTAATAGAAAATTTTCACAACAGTAACTCGAAAATAAGAAATTATAATAATGAAAACTAAATTTATATAAGTGAATAGATAACTACCATTACCAAAATTTTAACATACTCATAACTCATATTCATTATCATAACATGGATAAAAAAATCATATACAAGAAGGATTAGCTCCCCTACCTCTATTCCAGACTTAATCTCCTGCTCCGAATTTGTTTCCCCGAAACCCTTCAGAACCTCTACTCTTCTTGCAACTAAAAATTTCTCCCTAACTCTTTCTTCTCTATTTCTCAAGCTCTCACTTGATTCCTCTTTTCTTGGTGCAAAATACCCTTCCCTCCCATGGCTATTTATAGTAAAAAAAAATTTACTATTCATTAATATTTTAATATTATTTATTATTTTAATATTATTTAAAAATAATATTTCAATCATTTTCTCACCAAATCTGATCCTAATTTCTACCTACTACTTTCTTCCATGCTAAGGAATCTTAATGCTGAAAATTTATTTTTACTATTTACTTTTTACTATTTACTATTTACTTTTTACTATTCCATTTAAAAAAATTTACTAAATAAGTTACCAAAAATTTGAACCTCTCCTTCTAAAATTACTATAATTTTATATCCAAAATTTACATTTTTCTATACATTAAAATTATTATTACTAATAAAATACTAAAATTTACTACTATAAATATATATATATATATATATATATATATATATATATATTTTTTATGGGTCTTACAACAACTAATCTCAAAAATCTCATTACAAATCTCACACATATTTTGTGCTTAAGTAATATAAAAAAGAAAAAAAAAATTGCTTTTGTATTTTTTATATTTAAACCTCAAGTCACAGTTGAAATAGTTCACATCACAATTTATATAAGGAGCTCTATCCATCATAAACACTTCAATTCAATGATGATGTTTTATATCTAAAATAAATGCTATCAATTATATTTCATTCAAATTCATGATTGATAGTGAAATGGTATATAAAAAAAATAAATAAATAAAGCCAACAAATTGAACTAACATGTTCTCCACACCAATTCATCTCTTTTTATTTATTACAACATGATTATGACTCAATTAAATAATATTACTAATAATCACATAATAAAGTAAAAGTATAATCTAATTTGTTTTTGTTTTTCAAAATTTTAGTCTTTTAAAAAATCATGATATTTTTTCGTTTTTCTTCTCTTGAATAGAAAATATATTTTTTATCACATTGTCTTTTAGACTTATTTTCTATTTATTTTTCTATTTGGTTTCTTTAATTATTGTCACATTTTCTATTTATGTCCTTTACTAATCTAGGTTTATACAAGTATCTAATGATTGATAATAATAAGTATGAAAAATATCGATAATTAATGTTAGAA